TTCAGTGCAGATCAGTGAGTAAGCACAAACCCTCCCATGCTTACCTCGCTTCCGGAGACCCAGTCTCTCTCGGGAGGGTAACAAGGGAAGTGTTCAGTACAGATCAGTGAGTAAGCACAAGCCCACCCATGCTTACCTTGCTCCCGGAGACCTGGTCCCTCTCGGGAGGGTAACAAGGGAAAGTGTTCAATCCATCTGATACTACCTAGGATATCACACCACCTTTTGAGTCCAGCTTGCGTTTATGGAAGTTCTTTGTCTGTATACTGCTGCAACCGTTTTTGAATTATCTTCAGTAAGATTTTACTTGTGTGTGATATCAGTGATAATGTTCAATAATTTCCATATTGTGTTTTCCAAATTTTCTGGCATAGTTGAGTTAGGGCTTCCAGTGCAGCATCTGTTTGTTGAAACACCTTAATGAGTATTCCATCAATTCCTGGAGCCTTGTGTTTTGCCAGTTCCTTCTTCCTTCAAATACCATTGGTTTTTGAACATATGCCATCTCCTATAATGGATGATCATCTATCAGTTCTTTTTGGTGTAGTGACTCTGTGTATTCCATCCATCTTTTTTTGATGTTTACTGCATCATTCAACATATTGCCCATGGAATCTTTCAGTATTGCAGTTTGAGGCTTAAAATTTTTCCTTAGCTCTTTCAGCTTCAGAAATGCCAAGCATGTTCTTCTTTCTGGTTTTCCAACTCAAGGGCTTTGCAGACTTGGTCTTCTCAAGCTGCTCTTTGAAATTTTCTGTTCAGCTCTTTTATCCTGTTTTTTTTCCATCTGCTTTAGCTACTCTCTGTTCAAGGGCAAGTTTCAGAGTCTCTTTTAACATCCATTTTGGTCTTTTCTTCCTTTCCTGTCTTTTTAATGACCTCTTGCTTTCTTCATGGGTGATGTTCTTGATATCATTCCACAATTCCTCTGGTTTTCAATCATTGGTGTTCAGTGCATCAAATCTATTCTTTAGATGGTGTCTGAACTCAGGAAGGAGATAATCAAGGTCATATTTTGGCTCTTGTGGACTTTTAATTGTCTTCAGCTTCAACTTGAACTTGCATATAAGCAGTTGATAGTCTGTTCCATAGTCAGCTCCTTGCTTGTTTTGACTGAAGATACTGAGCTTCTCCATCTCCTCTTGCCACAGAAGTAGTCAATCTGATTCCTGTATGCTCCATCTGGCGAAGTCCACGTGTATAGCTGCCGTTTGTGTTGTTGAAAAAAGATACTTGGAATGAGTAAGTCGTTGGTCTTGCAAAATTCTATCATGTGATCTCCAGCAACATTTCTATTACCAAGACCATATTTTCCAGCTACTAGTAATTCTTCTTCGTTTCCAACTTTTACGTTCCAGTCACCAGTGATAATTAACACATCTTGATGACATGTTCAGTCAATTTCAGCGTGCAGAAGTTGGTAAAATCCTGGTGCATAAATTGGAGTAATAGTAGTATTAACTTGTCTTCCTTATATGCATATGGATGTTATCCTATCACTGACAGCATTGTACTTCAGGATAGATTTTGATACATTCTTTGTGATGATGAATGCCACACCATTTTCTTCAATTTGTCATTCGTGGCATAGTAGATCATACGATCATCTGATTCAAAATGGTCAAAACCAGTCCATTTCAGCTCACTAATGCCTAGAATATCGATCTTTATGCATTCTATTTCATTTTTGACAACTTCCAGTTTTCCTAGATTCATGCTTCATACATTCCATGTTCTGATAGTTAATGGATGTTTGCAGCTGTTTCTTCTCATCATGAGATGTGCCACATCAGCAAACGGGGGTCCTGAAAGCTTTATTCTATGCATATCACTAAGGTCTGCTCTACTCTGAGGAGGCAACTCTTCTCCAGTCAAATTTTGAGTGCCTTTCAACCTGAGGGGCTCATCTTCTGGCACTATATCACATGATGTTTCACTGTTGTTCATAAGGTTTTCACTGGCCAATTCTTTGAGAAGTGGATGCCCTCCTCCTTCTTCCAAGTCTCTCTTAGTCTATAGGCTCCCCTGAAACTTATCCACCATGGGTAACCCCACTAGCACCCGAAACACCAGCGGCACAGACTCCAACCTCACAGCAGCACTCCAGCCATCAAAGTAGGACAAACTGACAGATAAGCTTGTCTCCCCTTGCTGTTCTACACTGCTACATACTCCCTTAATGTTGCCTTTTTCATATCCAAATCACAAGTGTATTTTGGCATCTTTGGGAACTGTCTCATTGTTTTCAGCAAGATCCATCCCACTTTTTCAAATCAGTAAGTAACACTGAGTACTTCCTAAGACTTCTTGTTCACTTGTTTCATTCTAATTTAATTTCCATGGATGGTCCATCTTTTATAAGAAGTACAAAGGGCAAATTGATAATGATGTGCATATCCTTTTTATATGTAAAGGTAATGGGAGAAAATGCCCAGTTTTATTCCTGAAAAATAAAGTTACATGTTTTAAACTTACCAAATGTATTAGCTGGCAACTCTTGAGGAAAATATTTAATGTATACTTTAATATTCATTATAGGAAAAAGAGCACAATAAAGAACCAGATTCAAGCGTGGGCAAAGAAGCAGATGACAAGGATGCCGCAAGGACTGAGGAAAACAAAGTACAGCAGAATGGCAATTGTCAGCCAAATGAAGAAAATCTCTCTGCTAAAACAGAAGCAGTATAGGACTGAGAAATACACCTCTACACTCAACGCTGGAATAAAATCCAAAGCTTTTAATTCTCTCAACAAGATGCAAACAGTGAAGAAAGTCGGTTGAACATACAGATGTGAGCTAACAGCTTTTTCAGTTAGATGACTTTGTGGCCATCTTGTTACTGAGTAAGAAAATAAAGTATGGACAACATGAAAATAACAGATGTTACCCAAACTCATCTTCTAAAATCTGTGCATTTCCATGGTGGTTGACACACTTGTCATGTGGTTTGTTATTGTTTGCCAAGAACCATTGCAAATAAACGGACCATCAAATGTCCAAATTTGTACTATCCATAAAGACTGGAGATAAGCATTGGAGGCTCTTTCCCAAAAAGAAAAAAAAAAAGCTAGTTACTGAATTTTGTATTTTACTTTTTTAACAATTTCATTATATACAGTTTAATGATGTGCTTGAAATTGGTGCAAATATATACACACCTTGTAAGTACAAAGTATGTAAGAAGTTTAACATTTACTTCACAAGATTTACAGTGATTGTGTTAAATTCTCGTTATTGTGTTTCTTTTTGCTCATTGTTCAGGACAGCAATTTTTCTTTAAAATAGTTTCACAGATTAAAATTGTTCAAATATGTGGATTAGAAAACAGCTGACAATGCATGCTACTTTTCTGTTGCAGAAGGAAGAACAACTGTGTTGAATACTAATAACGATGTATTAGTGTTCAGTGTTTAGAATCAGTGAGTCTCCTCATAAAGTGAGCATTTCTTTCTGAACTTCCTTGACATTTCCAAGCTTATGAATAATATTGCAGTGTGTCTTGTCAACTGTAGGTGGCAAAGGTGCCCTAATAAAAAGGAAACTGGGTTTTCAAAGTGGGCTGTGGGAGCACAAGCTGAAGCTTTAGTGCCTTCTAAAATGTGGTATACTGTTTTCTAGAATTTTATATGTGCTAGTCATGCTCAATTCATGTGGAACCTAGATGGATATTCCATTCATACCATAGAGAAGTGTGCAACTGATACGACAGAAGAGCTTCTTACTTAGCTTGCCTAATATGATGAGAGAAGTCTTGTTTTCAAGAATGACTTTAGAGCTTGAAACAAAAATGAAGTTTTGGGACCATCAGTTTTATACTGTGATAGTTGAAAATGAAGCATGTTCTTATTTTACTTAAAGGAAACCCTTTAGTTATCTACATTGGATGGCCTTAATTATTACCTCTCAATCATTTTCTCATAAATGATGGGTAGAAATTATACCTAAAGGAGGACTGGGAGTATATGTGAGGTTACTTGTTAAAGGATATGTTTACTTAAGTTTAAAATGTAGGTCATCCATCCTTCTTAGGCTTACTTTTTGCAGAAAATATGTAAGTAGTAACATGACAACATTGCTATTGTTTTTCCTCAAAACTATAACTCATGGTTTCACAACTCTTTTCATTGTTGTATTTCAAAAAAAAAAAGTAATACCTTTTAATTAGCATGTTAATTAAAAAATCAAGTATAATTAATTATTTTAATGCAATCTAATACAATCAAATTACTCAGTTGCCTTACCTCATGGGAATAGTTACTTTTATAGATTTAAAAAGCTGAGTACTATGTTAGTTACTTGGTTTCAACTTGATTTTTCATTTAATGTTAATAACTTTTGAAAGTGTTTGGTGAAAAACGGAGAGAATTGTCCTTATTGCAATGAAGCCTGGTTTGATTATGAAGCTGCTTAATCACTCTTCATGTGTTCAGAATTACTGTGTTTTTTTTTGTTTTTTGTTTTTCCTTTTTGTCACTGTATACATTAAAATTTTGGAAAATGCTTTACTATGTAAAGTATAGATTATAGATGCTCATTTTAATTGTTCAACCACATGCGGTTGGGTAGTAAACAGCTTATTCTGATACAAGAATGCTTGGGTGCATATGGAAAGACTGTGAAGGAGTGTGTCTTGCATCAACAGCTGTCTTATTTATGAAATGTAAGTAGAATAGAGAAAATGTTGATTGAATCTTTGTTATTTTTAGTACCATTTCTTTAATAAAGCTAAGTATTTTAGAGGAAAGTATTTGTTTATTTCAAAAAAGCTTTTTAGTTTCACCCTGCTTATTTTAGTTGTCATAGAGATTGTTGTTTTGACATGGAGTGCATGTTTGAGTATAAAACAGTCATTTAAATTTTGAATGTTTTCTTGTATTTGGACTCTATTAAATGTTTCTTATGTTGATAGTTAACATATTTAATCTAGTTCCTGATGTTAATTATTTTCTTGCTGGATATTTATTTATCTTTAAGATAATCATACTGATTTTGAAACACATTGTCTTAGAAGTTAGGAATAAATAGGAATACAAGACATGTGAAAAGTGAATTCAGATTATTATGTGAGATTTGACTTTTTCATATGAGTTTTATAGAAGGAAATGGAGCTCTGGTAGGGCAGTGGTTAAAGCGCTTGACTACCAACTGAAAGGTTGGGTTCAAACACAACAGCTGCTCCATAGGAAAAAGATGTCACAGTCTGCTTCCGTAAAGATTTACAGCCTTAGAAACTCTATGGCGCAATTTTACTCTGTCCTATAGGGTTGCTATGACTTGAATTGTTGGTAGTGGGTTTAGTGTTTGGGTTATGGAAGCAAACCTTTCTAGGGTTAAGATACTTTCTAAGAGGTGACAAGTTTCCATTTGTTATTTTCTTTCAAGTTGTTTTTTTTTTTTTTAAAAGCTATTTTTCATCCCAGGTGGATGTTGTCAGGTAAATTTGAGGTAAGCTCAAGAATACTACAACCATTTTATACTTCATACCGTCTGTAATTATTTTTAGGTTGATTACAGAGAGTACACACTTCCTTAGATTGTAGCTCATGTACATTCTTCTTGTCAGGTCTGTTGGTACTCTTCTTGCTTTTCAGCAGCACACACTGAACTGGTAATACTGTATTTTCCTTCATCAGTTTCATGTGTGAAAACAAGTCTATGAATTCTTAACTTCTACAAGTCTCCTTAGTTATTATGATTTTTTGTCTAATCAGTTTACAGTTGCAAACACTAGTCAGCTTGTGATTTTCCGTACGTTCAGAATTGTTTTACTGAAGAAATTTAACATACACTGTGTTGATCTTCAGAAGTGTCAAGAGGCTTACATATTCACGTACTTAATTAAAAATAAAGACTCATTTATTACCAGTTTTTTTTTAATCAATTTGTTCTATTAATAATTTTCAGGATGCTCAGTCATTCCTATATATATGTACATATGTTGCTGTTTATCTTTGGGTGAATGGGGGAAGAGTCTGGCTCCAAACTTGCTGTCAACTGAGGATAGTAGTCTTTTAAGAGTTTTTTTTTTTTTTTTTTTTAATTAGAAATTTAGAAAATCTTGATTCAAATCTACTTTAGTTAGCAGTTAAAATGAATCCTTTTTCAGGGTTGCATTGAATAACTTAGCATATCAGTGAGTCATTTTCATTAAGGGATAGTATCTGCTTTAACTGGGTGGTTCTGAACTGGAGCAATTCCTACAAAGTAAAACAAATGCAGTGATCATATGTTCCTTATGGTTTAAAATTTTTTTTTAAATTTTCACTACCTGTATACTTAGTATTTTCTCATGCTTATTTGCTAATTGTTCATTTTCAGATTTCAGACAGTGCTCTTAAAGGGCTAAATTATATTTGTGCAAACAAGAGTCTAGTAGACATAATCTTTGAAAATAAATTTGACTTCCCTACTTAATTTTGGGCTTGTGGGTGATTTTGGTTTTTTTCAATAAGTACATTCTTAATGGTGATTTTTCCTAAGAACTGGTAATTATTTTAAACAAAGTTTTGGCTCATATTCAATCAGTTTGAATTTAATAACTAATAAGTAGATCACTTCATTCTATTCTAAGATACTTTTATAGTGTCTTGTAATCAAGTAAACGTAACATTTTACCTCTAAAACTTATTTTCCCAGCAATGGAATGGAATAGTAATTCCTTCCATTCTTGATTTTTATTTGCTAGACATGTAATTTCACTACGAATGTAAGTTGAAACTCATGGAAGTCATGTTCCAAGAACTAGAATTGAAATTTAAGGGTACTGGGAAGCCACAAACTGTTGGGGAATAGCCTGAAGAATTCCCTGATTTCCACAAAAGATTAAACTTGAGTGTACTGTGTAACTGTACAGGTAGTTTAATAATTAAATAATTGCCCTCCTTAGTTTTGGTTAGTTTAATAGAATGGTGCTCTTTACATAACGCTATGGATAATCAAGGTTTAAAATGTAAACATAAAGATGCATAGGTGGTGTATATGTGAATAGGGCTACTTTTAAATGGTACTAGAAAGATTTATTAAATGATGCTGCTATCATGTTGCCATATTTTTAATAAAATGAAAAGCTTAAAATCTTGCCACTGTCGAGTAGTGATTTCACCTATTTCTGAGGCAATTATTTGAATATTTACAGCTTTTTCTTATAACAGAAAGGTGGTAATAGGCTCTTCCATTGAGCTATTCCCACAAAGTAAAACATGCAGTGAACATATATATTCCCTTACACATTTAAATATATTTTATTTTCACTACCTGCATACCTGGTTCAGATTACTAAGATTAAGGTTTTTAAACACTGGGCAGTCTTTATATGTATGGCAATATCTCTATCAAGGTTTTGTATATTAAAAATACAGTAGTAATCTACTAAATGATAGCTGCTTCCTGAATCTCTCGTTTCCCAATAGGGTGTTTGTATGGTGAAAATGGTCATTGCCTGGCTTTTAACAAGTGGAATGGTTTCTCCCTCTAAGCAGAAGTGTAGCTGTTCATTTGGTGAATGAGCTATGCGTTGAGGATGTTCAGTTGAGACAGCTGGTTAGTCAAAAGTGCCTCTTTAAATAATTTATCTTTCAGGTATGCAAATTTAGAAGGCTGTATGAACTGAGGGAGATCTGGTGGCATAGTGCCTAAGGCATTTGACTGCTAAACAAAAGGTATGAACTGATGGCAAAATGGTGAGGCTATACTAATTGATTTCACCTGTCTTCTGTGGTTAAGGGCCACAGAGCAGTTTTGGTTTCTTAATATTTTTAAGTGGGGGTGGGGATTAGGGGTGGGAAGGAAAGGTCTGTATCCTTGCCTATACTGGTTTAGGGCTTTTCTATGTGTGCCCTTTTCCACAATTCAAACCCCTTTCCACAATTCAACTGGAAGGAAAGTTGGGCAATCTACTTCTCTAGTGATACTGCCTCAGAAACCCAAGGAGGGGTCACTATGAGTTGGGTCCGACTTGACGGCTTATAACAGCAACAACAACAAGAAGTTTCCATTAACTTTGGCCTCTGTATGCTCTACTATGTTTATGGATATATTCTGCCAAACCTATTTATATTTGTGGGTTTTGTCCAATTCACCTTCCCACAGCTGGTCAGCTTACCTGTCTGTGTATCTACTTGTAGATTATTGTTATTACTGTTGTTGCAAGATTATGTATGTAATGCTATTTACCTTTGTTGCCTTTTACTCTTGTGTTCTTCCCAGTGTCTTCCTGATCATTTTGTGCTGACACATTCCTTATTGTATATTACCTTTCCCTTCACCCAAGTTAATATACATCTACCCTGTAGTTAGTGATTTAACCTCCCACCTTTAACCTTTAAAGAATTTTTCTTTGTGTGTAAACTTTTTCTTGACTTTTTACCCTAGTGGTCTCATACAATATTTATCCTTTTGTGACTAATTTCACTCAGCGTAACATCCTCTGTTGTTAGGTGCCATCGAGTCAACTCTGACTCATAGCGACCCTGTGCACAGCAGAATGAAACACCCCCTGGTCCTGAGCCAGCTCCATGATTCTTGCTATACTTGAAGCCATCGCTGCTGCCACTGTGTCAGTCCATCTCGTTGAGGGTCTTCCCCTCTTTCGTCGACCCTCCACCTTACCAAGCATGGCATCTTTCTCCAGCGAATGGTCCCTTCTGACAATATAACCAAAGTAGGTGAGACGAAGTCTGGCCGTTCTCAACTCTAAGGAGCATTCTGGCTGCACTTCCTTCAGGACAGACCACTTGGTTCTTTTAGCAGTCCATGGTACTTCGAGCATTCTTCACCAGCACCACAGCTCAAAAGCATCAGTTCTTCTTTGTTCTTCCTTATTCATTGTCCAGCTCTCACATGCATATGAGGCGATTGAAAATACCATGGCTTGTGTCAGGTGGACCTTAGTCCTCAAGGAGACATCTTTGCTCTTCAGAACTTGAAAGAGGTCCTTTGCAGCCAGTGCAATAAATCGTCTGATGTCCTGACTGCTGCTTCCATTGGTGTCGATTGTAGAACCAAGTAATGTGAAGTCTTTGACAATTTCAATCTTTTCTCCATTTATCATAATGTTGCTTATAGGACCGGTTGTGAGGATTTTTGTTTTCTTTATATTGAGGTGTAATCCATACTGCAGACTGTATTTTTCAGTATTCATCAGCAAGTACTTCATGTCATCCTCACTTTCAGCAAGCAGTGTGTTGTCAGTATATTATAGGTTGTTAATGATTCTTCCTCCAATCCTAATGCCACATTGTTCTTCATATAGTGCAGCTTCTCAGATTATTTGCTCAGCATACAGATTGAATAAGTATGGTGAAAGGATACAACCCTGAAGCACTCCCTCTTGATTTTAAACCATGTAGCGTTCCCTTTTTCTGGTCAAACAA